TTTCGTTATTTATCCCAAAGAGAGGGAAAGAAAACGATCGGAAAAAAACTAACGAAAAAAGGGAAAGACAAGGTCATCGCAACCATGTCTGGATTCGGGAGTTGGTTACGCAAGGGGAAGGTATTAACACCGCTCATGTCCTCGTACTCGACGGGATCCATGCATTATTGTCTATCTAAAAGGGTGAAAAACAAATCTAATCTACGGCTGCTAAAGCTAAACGGAAAGAACTAACTCGATAGAGCATCGTCGCTCTATGTCTATGTATTCCCTCGTGCAATGGGAAAGTCAGAGTCAACGTAGTTCGGGAAACTACGGGGGGATTGCTCGCCAAGACGTTGCGTCTTGTGCCTACGTATTCTCATCTCGCATGAGAAATCAGAGAAAAACGTAGTTCAGGCTAACTACAGGACGGGAAGGGTGTTCTCGATCACACAAGGGTGAGAGAAGAGATTGACGATACTAGCGTACGCATTCCAGTAGTTAGGTGTATTGCTGCTCGACCATTGGAGACTTAGGCGTTACCTGTTTGCGGTAGAACGGACGTAGTATGTCGGGGTTTAAAGGTACGGGAACCTACGGGTTCTAAAACTACGGTCTGGTTTCGATTGCGCTAGGGCAAGAGAAAGGGAAAGATTAGTCGTCGGCGGGAAAGTCTCGATCGCGCGGAAGCGAGAGAGCAGAGAAGTTAGTTGTTAGTGTGCTCGCTAGGATATCGCATCCTATGCCTACATATTCTCGTCTGGTACGAGAAATTAGAGCAGCTGTAGTTCAGCCAACTACGAAAAACGGTCTCGATTGCACGAGGGCAAGAGAAGGGAGCTCAATCGCCAGAACGCGAGAGAAAAAGGGAAGTCTCAATCGCCAGGACGCGAGAGAAAAGGTTCGAAACGGGACGCATATGCCAAGTCCTAAACGTAGGAGCGAATGCGTCGCATATCACCCAAAGGGTGTACACTAAACACTCTAGACGAGTGAGAGGAAGCCCCCCACTTATCATTTCTCACGTATCTAAAGCTTACGGCTCACAACGCTCAAAGGTTGAATAACAGAGATGAAAGGAATGAAATAAAAACAATGTTACCGAACAGAGTGGTTCCGTTGACCCTTGACTTTTGCGTGCAAGCTCCATTCCAAGCATTCCTCTTTTGATCCTTGATGAAGAGGTTTCGAATCAGAACCAATATGACGCAGAACCATCGTGACTCGACTTATAAGAGAAGTCGCGCTATATGAGGTTGCGTGTTGATATCCATGTCAAAGACAAGATAGAGAAATGATATTGAGAATCATTCTCCAATTGAATCGTGTCACACGGACATCACAACAGAAAGTCAAAATAAAATCAGAAGAAGAAGAAGAGAAACAAGGAGAGAAAGAAATGGTCTCGGATACTACATTATCCATCAATAATTCGATTAATAACGCATTACGGAGGTCTCGTCGTCGACCTACAAAATGAACAAGGTGAGAAAAATCCAATAACAAAATGGGAATAAGAATTCAACTCCTAAAATTGAAATAAAGTTTCTAAAAGAAAAAATAAATTCTAGAAGAAACATTAAAGAAATGAATAGAAATTGAATATGAAAAATATTATATGAAAATAAAATATAAAAACTATATACTAAAAGCAAATATATAATATTCTATACAAAATAGAATTTCAAAACAAATATCCAAAATTATATACAATAAAGAATTCTATACAAAATATATTTGCAACAATAAAATTCAAAAAAAATAAAGAGAGAAATAGGGACAGGGGGTGTAGCAGCATCCAGGGGGTTCAGCCAGAAAAATATAGTTGGGCTTTTTGGGTCCACAAACAGCAACAAAAAAAAACACAAGGGGGTGCATGACTGGAAAATGGGGGTGCGAAGGTAGAAGCAACTGGGCCTTACGGCCCACTAACCCTGACCAGAAGCTCCACGAGAATGCCTCTTCTTCTTCACTTTGGCTTTAACAAAACCCTAAATCCTCTTCTTCAACCTCCGTCGCCATTGAAACCTGTTCCCTCACCGTATCTTAAACTCTTCTCTGATTTCATGTTCCCCACACGCTGTCTCCAATTCTTCCTACTCTAATCTCAAGCTTTCTCTCAACTCAAACCTTTCATTCATTTCCTGCTCGAATCTGACATGACGAAGTGAGGTTCTGGACGGGGTTCCTTTTGGTTTTTTGCGTCTATCGTTGCATGAAGGTGAGGGAAGACAGATTTGTTTGGGTGGTTTGGATTTATGTTGTTGCAGTTTTGGGTCGGAGGTTGTTAATGAATTGTGCGAGTTGTTCATGAAGATCTAGAGATTTGTTCATGGTTTGAAGAATGTTTGTGAAGAGGATCCGAAATTGCATGTTGTGCATCTGGAGATTTGAAGTGGAGATCTGAAGAACACGGGTATTTATTCATGGCGGATGATGGCTTGCTTGAGACGAGTTTGCAGATCTATGAGTTGCGCGATGACGATGAAGGATACGTTGGGAAATATTGATGAGGAAGAAGATTTGTATGGATCTGGGTAAATGTTCAGAAACGGATTTGATTATCGTTGAATGTTCGAAGATCTGAAAGAAGCGATGAAGATATGATGAAGGTCTGGATGAGTTTCTGGAAAAATACCCGTAATATGATGAAGATCTGTGTGTTGGAAGGTTGAAGATTTGAAGTTTGGTTTGATTTTGGAAAACAATGAAGGTTGTGGGTTTGTGATGAATTTCTGGGAAAATGGATGAAGGTTGGATGAAGATCATGGAGCATCTGGGAAAATATCGATGAACATGATGAACGATCTTGGGGAAATCTGAAAAAAGGTGTTTGAAGTTATGAAGTTTGTATGAATGTTTGTAGTTTCTGGGAAAAAAAGTATGGAGCCATGAAGATCTATGGAGGAAATCTGGAAAAAGTGAAGAAGATTGATGAATTTGATGAATGTTCAATAATGAACATGATGAAGGTTGAAGAAACTTGGGAAGAATTGCATGAACACGATGAACACGGTTGGAGGTTCCGGCGAGTGGTTGAAATTCCGGCGAGTTTTCCGGTGTAATTTGGTGGTGTTTGATTTTTCTGGTGATGTGGGGTTGATGTTTGCATGGGGACGCGTGTCAAGCATTAATTATGCATAGTGTAGTGTGCTAGCTTTTATAGCTGACAAGTGGCCTGCAATTACCTGACCAGATTGAATTAGTTGACTGATTAATACAACTAAAGATTAATTAATATTAAACAATTAATAAATGCTGAGAATAAAACAAATTAATAAAAGTTGATTACCAACAAAAAAAAGAAGCAACGTGACCTCTTAAAACTCAAACGATTAAAAACAACTAAATAAACTTATTCAATTAATATTCTAATTAAACCCTATATCCAATTCTAATATCTAAATTAAAATTCAATCTAAAAATATAAATCACATTAATCTAAATAAAAATTAAAACCACTCTAAAATAATAAAACCCTAATATATTCTAAAAAACAATTAATTCTAGAAAACTATTTAAAATCTATTTTCTAAGTCAAAATTAAGGAATAAATTCCAGAAAATGCTAATAAATCCAATGAAAATCAATTAAATCAATTAACAAAAAAAAGTGAGAATGTACTGAAATAAACGGTAAAAACCGGACACCGAAATATCCTCAAAAATAATAGCGAAAACTGAATCACCGGGCAAAGCGCAAATTCCACAATAAAACTCCTTATCCGAAACAGTTTGAATCTACTGAGACGCGAGAAAAGAGCTGTAATCCCGATAAAATCAATCTGGATGAAAAAAATACACAGTATGCGATATGTTGATGCAAATGCAACATGAAACGAAACATAAGCCAAATTGATAGAAACAGTTGGTCAAATTTTGAGGTACAACACTTTCTACCCGGATCAAGGCTCAACTTATATAATCCATCAAAGTAGCTCACATATTTCAAAGCTTACTACTAGGATATCCTAATGTTTACCCTAATCTTATAGGTTATTCTAATTTCTACGCTATCATGCAATATTTCCTTTAATTACGAAATCATACTGTCAAGGCTAAATCTCTAGGTATGCCCAATGGTTAAGAGTTTTCTTAACCTAAGTTATCCCATGATTGTATATCATGTTTTACCTTTATTTTACAAGAAAAACATGTCTAAAACCATCTCATTAATGTTTAGCATCATTAACTACCTTAAAGTTGGACTTAGAACAAGAAAAAATCTTGTGTTTTTTCCCATAATAGGGTCCTTGACTCGACTCGATTCATTCAAATGGAACCATATCTTCTTATTTGTGACACTTTTTGAATCGATTCAAAATACTCCTCATCCAATTCAAAAGTAAAAAAATACTCTCCGACTCAATTCAATTTTTTTGAATGATTCAAACACTCCCTGAATCAATTCATTTTGAGTTTTAACAGTTTTTTTCAACAAATAATTGAAACTTATTTTTAACTATCAAACAAAAACATCAAAATCACTTGCATTAATATTAACACATTTTACGATAAAAATATCTCATTTCTATTTATCTCCCTTCTTGTTTTTTATTCCCCTGGATTCTTGAAATTCAAATGAAATGAAATAAGAACATAATTTTCTATAAAATTCTTATTTATGTGTTAGTTTTCAGTAAATAAAGTTTTTACAATTTTGGTGAGTTTGTTTAACTTTTTAATTATATCTCTACTTTTATCCTACAAATTCATATGTATTTGTTTTTTGTTTTAAAATATTTTTTCACTTGCTTTTTTGAAAGTTTCCACTTGTCTTCTCTTTTATAGGAAATAACTCCTGAAAAAACTCTTGACTGAAGAAACTCCTATCCTTTTGCAGTTACATGATTCAAATTTCTTTCTTAAATTTACTATTTAAAGGTCATAGAAGAAAAAGTCATCTAAGAGTAATAAGACAAGTTCCTTTTATGTTTTACACATACATTATAAATATAACAATATTAACTAGAGAGATACAATACACTGCATTTGTTTACTTTTATGTGCTTACAAGTTATGGAGGACAATGAAAGGTAATGTTCTTAAAAACCATTAATGTGTCCAATTCATTTCTTTTGTTTTGATTTCATTTTTGACCCTGTGTATTATGTTTAGAATGAACGTAGCCATGTGTTATGATTATGATTTCATTCTTTTTTTTTGTAATGTGTAGTTTTAAAGAGAAGTCTGTTTCAGACAGTAAGCTCGGCATCAGTAAATTTAAGAGCAAACCTTTCTATGGAAACAGAATGCACAGATGGGAAGATGGAACAATATATATGGGAGATTTTATCGATGGAAAAATAACAGGAAAAGGAGTGATGTTATTTCCATCAGAAATAAAGGACACAGATCATGGTGACGACCCCCTTACAATGGATATCGACATTGAAAATCTTATAAACAAAAGAGAATACACACTGTTTAATGGAACAATATACGAGGGTGATTGGGTTAATGGAGAAATGACAGGGAAAGGAATGTTGATATTGACATCAAAAGTAAAGTATGAGGGGGAATTCTTTAAGGATTATTGTAATGGTCATGGCACCCTTACAAAACCTAATGGAGATGTCTACATTGGTAAATTCAAGAATGATTTTTTCCATGGAAATGGAAAGTATACATGGAAAGATGGAACAATATACGAGGGAAATTGGGTTGATGGAAACATGTCAGGAAAAGGAATGATGACATGGCGATCAGGAACAAAGTATGAGGGGGAATTCTTTGAGAATTATATTCATGGGAATGGCACTCAAACTTGGAAGAATGGAAGTATGTATATTGGAAATTGGAAAAACGATAAAGCAGATGGAATAGGGATTATGAAGTGGATTGAGGGTGATGTTTTTGATGGTTATTGGTCAAATGGATTTATGCATGGATATGGAATTTTTATATTTTCACAAGGAGATGTCTATATGGGTGACTTTAAGAGTGACCTTTTCCATGGAAATGGAATTTACACGTGGGTAACTGGAGAAATATATGAGGGTGATTGGATTGATGGAAATATAACGGGAAAAGGACTAGTCATATGGCCATTAGAAACCAAATATGAGGGCGAAGACTCTTCGAGATACATTCACTCTCACAACACCTTACAAAAACAAACATGGGGATGCAAAATGGTGTATTCCAATATGAATACTTATGAAGGTTCATTGAAAGACGGACTTTATGAAGGCAATGGAAGGTGTACTTGGAGGAATGGATGTGTCTATATTGGAAACTTTAAAAAAGGGAAACAAGATGGGAGTGGGATTATGACGAGGGCTAATGGTGATATTTATGATGGTTTTTGGTCAAATGGACATAAAAATGGATATGGAGTTTATAGATATGCAAATGGAAGAATCTATGTTGGGACATGGAGTAATGGCCTAAAAGATGGAAAAGGATCACTCTACTATCCTTATCATAGTAAAAAACCATCTCTAGTAAAGAAGTTAGGTGCCATTCTTAATTATAAGAATCCAAAATCAAGATTTAATCCTAGTTTTTCAAAAAAAGCATCAATAAATGAAGGTCAATCTGAGCCATCTTCTATGAGTTTTAAGGTTTATGAAAGGGAATATAAGAAAGGAGTTCTAATTAAAGAGAAAATTATAAATTTTTCAGAGAAGCCACACGGTAATAAAACCAAAAGGCCAGATAAATTAAATGGGAAGCAAGCAAATAAAAGTTCATGGATGAGATTAGTTGATCTTTCATGTTTTCCTTTTCGTACCTTATTTGTGACTGCATTAAGGATGGTGAATCTCAAATAAAAAACATGTTTATATATTTACATGTTCAAAAGTGTTTTATTTACATATACAGAGATCTTGGCAATGTGAAATGGTGATCTCATTTACTACTTAACACTGATGAAGATGGTGATAAAGGGAGGCCCTTTTAATTAGAATAAGAAGATATAGAAGTTTATTAGTATTTTTTTTTTAAGTTAATTTTTTTGTATTCGTTTATGTACGTTTTACATCAAATTGAACTCTATTATTCATTTTTAATTTCAATTTTAGAATTTTATTTATCATCTCTGTTGTGATCACAAACAATACATTTCAACAAATAAAGATTGAGAAACTGAGTTTTTGGATGAACAATGAAACGGTTAGAACAAAGAGAGAAAGAAGAAAGAAGAAGAAGGATTTTGGCAAATTGCTATACTATTCACTTTCTCAATATTACAAAATATTACAAGTGAATAATACAATTGGCCTCACTCAACAACCGGAATGATCTAGCCTATTTATAGACTAACTAGCTAACTTATAATACAAGCTAACTAAACAATTAGATCCTTAACACAAGGCCTAATTCAACATAATAAGTCAACAATATATATCGATATTACATACTAGAACTAGCTTCAATTACAATATGTAACCCTTCGACATCATCATGTGAACCAGCTTCGACTTCATGCTTGTCTCCTGTCAAAACGCATGAAAACTATTCCTCGACAAAGTTATAGTTCGACCCAAAATCTCACAGATCTCCACCTTGGATCTAACTCCACAACAACAGAGAATAAACTAGCTTTCATCATGCAGCTTTATCAACCGCATACGGTGGAAAAACTTGCAACTTGACAACGTCTTGGTGATCATATCAGCAACACTATTATTAGTTGAAACCTTCAGCACCTGGACTTCACCATGCTCGATTATCTCTCTGATGAAGTGCATCCTTACATCAATGTGTTTGGTTCGCTCATGATAAGTTGAGTTCTTTGATAGGTGTATTGCACTTTGACTATCACATTTGACAGTGATACTTCGACCTTGAATTTTCAGCTCCTTTGCAAAACCTTCAAGCCACAATGCTTCTTTCACAGCTTCAGCGAGGGAAATATATTCTGCTTCAGTGGTTGATAAGGAAACAACCGTCTGAAAAGTTGTATTTCAACTGATTGTTGTGCCAAACCTAGTGAACACATATCCAGAAATAGACTTTCTGGAATCCATATAACCTGCATAATCAGAGTCGACAAACCATTCGATTTCAACTTTGCTATCATCACCACAGGTTCCATCATAAATCAAGACTCTTTTCAGAGACCCATTTATGTACCTGAGAATCCACTTTACAGCTTGCCAACCTTTCCAGGATTGGCCATATACCTACTTACAAGGCTCACACCATACGTTATGTCTGGCCTCGTATGGACCATAACATACATCAAAGAACCTACTACACTAGCATATGAAATGCTACTCATATAGATTCTTTCAGCTTTAGTACTTGGACTTTGAGTAGTACTAAGCTTAAACTGAGGATTTGTTGGAGTCACAACAGGCTTTGAATTCGACATACCAAACTTGTCGAGAAGCTTTCGTAGGTATATCTCTTGAGATAAGCACAACCTTGAATGCTTTCTATTCTCTAGATGTCAATCGCAAAAATCCTGGTTGCAGCTCCCAGATCCTTCATTTCGAACTCCTTGCAGAGTTCATTTTTTACCTCCATTACATCCTCGACACTGTTGCTACCTATGAGGATATCATCCACATAAACACTGTTGCAACAAAATAACAAGTGAATTTTCAGGTCAAAATCTGAAGTAAACACAGTGATAAAATTGGCTCCTAGTGAAACCAACGTGTGCCACGAATTTGTCGAATCTCATGTTCCACTGTCTAGGAGATTGTTCCAGGCCATACAAAGACCTATTCAGCTTGCACACATAATCTTCCTTATCCTTTTCTGCATACCCTTCAGGTTGACGTATCAGGATCCTTTCGTCTAGGTCACCATACAGAAATGTTATTTTCACATCCATTTGCTCAAGTTTCAAGTCGAACTTCGCCACCATGGCCAACAACATTCTCTCGCAACTGCGAAAAGGTCCGGCAGAAACAAAACAGAAGAGTCACCACCAAACGTTATGTATCCTAAAGAGAGGGAAAAGAAACGATCAAAGAAAACCTAAGAGAAAGGGAAAGACAGGTCATCGCAACCAAATCTTGGGTTCGGGAGTCGGTTACGCAAGGGGAAGGTATGAGCACCCCTCACGTCCGTTGCACTCAACGGGATCCATGCTTGTTGTCTAATCTATGGGTGAAAACTATCTAAAAGCTGCTGCTAAACGGGGGTGAAGGGAAAGAACAAACTCGATAAGACATCGCCGCCCTATGCCTACGTATTCCCTCGTGCAATGAGAAAGTCAGAGTCAACGTAGTTCGGGAAACTACGAGTGATGGGGGGAAGGTGCTCGCCAAGACATCGCCTTCTTATGCCTACGTATCCTTATCTGGTATGAGAAATTAGAGCAAGTGTAGTTCGGGAAAACTAAACCACTTGTTGGTTAAATGTTTTTTTATGTGCGACGTTAAATCTCCATTCTAGCAGTTAGGGACGATGCCTGTTTGTGATAGAACGGAAAGGTAACATACTCTTTCTGAAAATGAGGTTTGAAAACAATCCCGAAGGGTGAAAATGTTTGAGTTTTGTTTGTGAGTTTTAAAGAAGTGAATTGAGTTAGTTTGAGACTCATGTTGCACTAAAGACTATGATACAAAAGCGAATGCGTCGCATATCGCCCAAAGGGAATACGCTAAACACTCTAGACACGTGAAGAAAGACCTCCCTACTTATCATTTCTCATGTACTTAAGGCTCATGATCATACAAGGCATATGAGATGAAACCAACTTTCAAATGACCCTTAATCATGCAAGTCAGAATCTCAAACGTGTTAACAAGAGCATACAAGATTTACCAAGCACTCATGGGATCACACAAGATCATACCTTAAAACTAGGTCAAGACATGCACACACACACACACACACATAGTTAAAATAATAAGGTTTTGAGGCATCAACCAAAAATAGAAATGTGTCCAAATAAAATTCAAATAAAATCCCAAACTCAAGTTAAGTTCAACCAAAATCAATGTGAAAAAGATCATGGCAAGAATTGCATCAAAGCATCACCAATTGTATTAAACAAGGCAATGTGCTCAACTTATCGAGCACACATCGAGGGTCAAATAAAATCCAATGAAAAATGACCAAGAAAGGATCATCAAGACCTCAAACCAGCCCTCAAATAATCCTCAATCAAACACCCAAGTGTGAGAGGAAAATTGGTCAAAGGGGGTATTCAAATGAGGTCAAAGTAAAACTCAAGACATTGAAATATCAGAAAAGTATTTTTGTTGATTTTAAAAAAGGTTTGAACTATTTAAAATAAAATTAAAATGAAAATGGTAAAAGAAATAAAATAAAATAGAAAAAGTATGAAAGGGGGTGCAGAAGTAAAAAGGAAATGAACTGAAATCTAGTTTAACGTGCAAATGGGCTTAAAACAGGGTGTGTGAATAGCAAGAAATGCCAATCCCAGACCACACAAAACCTCAGATTAAATAAAACGCATCATTTCATTAATAAACGTGGCAAGACACATCAGATTTAAACGTACATGCACGCAGGTCAACATCCAAGTCATAGCCACTTCAGCTTTTGACCTTAGACACCAGATCCCTAGCTCCGGTCGTCTTCTCCGGTGAGCTTCACCGGTGGTGACTGAAAAACAACATAAAAATGAAAACTCCAGACATGTGTCGCAACTGCGAAAAACACCCGGCGGAAAACAAAAGAGTCGCCACCTTTCGTTATTTATCCCAAAGAGAGGGAAAGGAAACGATTGGAAAAACCTGACGAAAAAGGGAAAAGACAAGGTCATCGCAACCAAGTCTGGATTCGGGAACCAGTTACGCAATAGGAAGGTATGAGCACCCCTCACGTCCGTCGTACTCGACGGGATCCGCACTTTGTTGTCTATCTAAAATGGTGATCATCTATCTAGCTAAAGGTCAAGGGATGAAAGAAAAGAAAAGAGACTCGGCAGAGCATCGCCGCTTTGTGCCTACGTATTCCCTCGTCCAATGGGAAAGTCAGAGTCAACGTAGTTCGAAAAACTACGGGGGAAAGGGGGTAGGTTGTTCGCCAAGACATCGCTTCTTGTGCCTACGTACTTTCATCTGGCATGAAAGATCAGAGCAAACGTAGTTCGGGCTAGAAAGGCCACAGGTTGGTTCAAAAGTTTTTAGGCCCGAGTAGGGTTAACAAGTAGTTCTAGCAGTTGATGTATGCAGCTCGACCATTGGAGACTTAGGCGTTACCGTTTGCGGTAGAACTAAAAGTTAACAACACTCTTTTATCTGAAAAGATTTTCCTTGATTAAGATCCTGAAGGATGAAAAAGATTTGAAGTGTTTTTATGTTTTTTAAAGAAGAAGTGTTTTGAATTTGATTTGTAACTCATGTCGCACTAGAGACTATGACCTAGGAGAGAATGCATCGCATATCACCCAAAGGGTGTACACTAAACACTCTAGGCCATTGAGAGGAAGCCCCACAATCACCATTTCCCAAGTAGCTTAAGGCTCGTAGCGTACAACATTTGTTATTCTTTATTATGTGTTTTATGAGTGTTTGAAGATGAGAAAAGAAAGGGAACCAAGGGAGACTAAATCAATCCTAAAAGTTGTCATGCAAAAATGGACTTAGAGTTGAGATGCAAAAGGGAACTACCTAACGTTGTCATGCTTGGATTGAACACCTAATGTCTCTTCTACTCCCATCCTAAACGGAGGGACTAGGAACCCTATAGGGATCATGGCAAAAAAAACACAAGAAAGCACCAAGTAAATTCAATCACAAGTAGAAGATGCAAACATGAAAATGAAACACTTAGAATGGTGGGAGGGAGGAAAAATGTGTGGGGCAGCAGCCGCCACAAGCTCGTCTCGACCTCAACAGCG